AAAATCCCCACATACAGAAAGCCATTTCAGGAGCAAGACGCATGCCAGACGCCTGATAAACCGGATTGGTACCAAGCCCACACTGAAACGAAACTTTGAGACAATGAAATTTGCCTTCTCTTTTGTTAGGAAGTGAACTCCAGCATTTTCCTTTAATATTTAAAATCTTTTACCTAAGAAAAGTCTTTTTTCCCCCCTCAACTGTAAGACAGCCAAGAAGACTTGAAACTAATGGCTTAGTTCGCCTCAAGACAAGTTTGAAGGACTAAATTTGTTTTTAAGTACTGACAAGTTTACAGTGTGGGTCTTCTTTCCTGTGATCAGAGACCCCCCCACAGTGGTGCCTGTGCATGGGTTATCTACAGAGACATCTCAAGAACCAGTTCTTGACTTGTTTCGTTTGGGAGCCATGCACACACATCGTATACACCGGCGTGGACTATCCACAGCTACTCAAGTGGAAACTTCTGCTTCTTGGAAAAGCAGCATCAATTTTTCCAGAATTTGACACCAAGAACTTAAAGTATGCATGTTTAATTGCAAAGGCAGATTGGAGAAGACTGTGCTCCCATGTTTGCTTGTCACATCACTGCCAGGTTCTCAGTTTCTTCAGCAGACACCTTGTTCCCCCTATGCTTGGTGTCCCAACCCTCCTAGGTACCTTCAAAATCCCCTGCCACTGCCAGAACTGCCTGTGTAACCATGTGGCATTTCCATCTGACTCAGTAATGTGTCATAGTACATCTCTCTGCAACAAATATTTTTTCAGTTAAACCTATTACCACCCGGCTGTTCTGGGACAGCAGTTTTCACAAAGTATTGCATGGCAACGTTAAGGCACCATCAGCACCAAAACCTTGAAGGGTAAATTAAGCCAAGTGAGTTGTGAGAGCACCTACCAGAAAGGTAGGAGGGTCACCCAGCCTGGCTGCAGCTAACAGACTGAGAGAAGATTTTTGCCAAATCAGGCCTCTAAAAAGGCGTCAACTAGGGTCGACAGAGCCGACTGAAAATGTGGGTGGTTAAAAACACAAGGCTCTTAAATACCGCTTTGCTTTCAATCTGTTATTTGAGCACTCAAGAAAACCCATCTCATATTATCACCCCCACTTTACTGAGTAGGAAAGGAGGCAATACACAGAGCCACCAGTTCAACTTCACCCCAAAGACCAGGACCAGTGTGGGAACACCAGTGACTTCCCAAGCCCCAAAAGGCCCATGTCCTCTGTCATTTACAGCCAGAAAGACAGAAACCTCCATTTACGCCAGGCAGCCTATGCATCTGAAAGTCCAAGGCTTCAATTCAGATCTGAAGCATGATAGGAAACATAACTAACTGCCTTTTTACTGCTGTTGTGTAAGAGGCCATTATTTGCACACCATAAACCAGCAAGAAGTACAGAGTTATTTGCATATGACTTGTAGGCAGATCTTGCCAGCTAGACTTGAGTTTTTTTATTTTGCATTAGTTGGTCTCTTTTTCTTGGGAGGGAAGGCGTGGGGGAAGGAATCAAAATTTGATTCAGCATTTTACTTTTCCTGCCAATAAGACGGGTTATTGACTAGATGAGGAGAGATGAGTAAAAAAACCAATTATTAAAAAAAAAAAAAAAGGCAGAAAAAAGTCTCCCCTGAATTCCTGGAGGTCACTTCCTCAGCTTTTAGCCAAAGAGGAAATCATCACCACCTGTGAGCTACCATGAAGTTCACTTCTGCTGTAATTATCAAGGTAGGTAGAACAAGCAAAACCCACAAAAGGCAACCCTAGCAACACTGCTGAAAAACAGGAACTGTGGTAGCCAGTAGAAGGGCAGAAGTAGAACCCATTCCTGTGTTGAAACACATGGTTTTAAGGTAATGCGGGTGGCAAGCTGGCATGCAATAGGACTCTTGCAGGGAAGCAAAGCTTCTTAGAAACACTTTCAGCACAGAAATCAGCTATTGTGAGCCCAAGTGTCTGCAAGGATATGCTTGTGGCCCTCCAGGCATCTACCAGCAACCTAAAACTTGAACCTCAACCTTAAGAACGGGCTTTGAAGGCCCAGATACTCATTACCGAGGTATCCCCCTTGGAGACCGCTGTGAATACTGAACATTCAGGCGAGTGAAAGGCTCTGAACAGCTTTACATGCAAGTTCTGGCTGTCTGCAGGCTCTCCCGCATGAGATCGCTTAGGTCAGCCCTTGCTCCCAGCAGGAGCCTCTTGATAGCAATATTCCTAACGAGGCAAGTAGGAACATGCCAGACACCCACACTACCAATTGTCATGAGGCTGTCATCTTGTACATGAGGCATACGTACCTTGTAATTACACAGATTTGGGAATAGTATTGACTAACAACCAAGAAAAATAATTTGCACGGTCCTCCAAAGACCATGGACTCATTTAATCCAGCAGCAAAGAAACTGAACCTTGTGGCAAGACACCAAAGCAGAAAATCCAACGCTCTTTTGATACCAAACGATGCCCTCCTGCTGGCATCGCTCTGCTTTGCCAGAAAGGCCTACACTCTTTGCCCAAAAGCAAGTTCATTGGCAGCAACCGGAGAGCATCTTAAAAAAAAAAAAAAAGCCAACCCAGACCCCGTTCCAAAAAGGAGATCGCTATGAGAAATACGAGTTTTGACTGATTGAGGAACGAATTCTCTGGTTCCAAAGCAAGATGAAGCCTGACACACCGAGTAGTCATTCTAAACTAGGTTTTTCCGTGCTGCAGAGGTGGTAGCCCAGCTTGTTCAGACAAGCCTATTTTAAACAAGAGCCGCAAGTCTCGTCAGAGACTTTCAGCAGCTTCATCTGCAACTCCCATTAGCTCTGCCCTGCGCCGCAGACCGGCCGTCGAGACACCTCAACTCGGGTGTTGTAGGAAGCGGGGAAGATTAGCAGCACATCCCGCCTGCCGCGGCTACACAGGAGGAAAGTTTATTTACTGGATATTCTACGCATTGAAGGAGCTGATGGGAAATATCACGGGAAGGCCTCGGTACCTGACCCATCTACTAAAGGCAAAATAACCTACCAAATAGCGGGTTGTTGCTGTTTTGTGCGTGATTCAAGGGAAAACAGGATGGCAGTTAGAACCGTAGAAGCTAATAACTGGAAGTGAGTTTTTTTTCAGTCTCGGTAGACTGAGTTAAACAAAGATGTAAACTTTTAGGGTAGGCAAACCAGCAAAAAAAATGAACCACCCTGAAGCATAAGAGCTCCTTGGTCTGTTTTGTGCCATCTAATCCCAGGTATTTTTTTATATCTATATATTTTATTTTTTTTTTTAAAGCCGGAGAAAATGGGCAAATCAGGAATGTATTCGACATACACACTATGTTTCATGCACTATGTCTTAAGACACATTGTTTCCAGCGTTATACCTTAAGACACGTTGTTTCCAGCGTTATAGCGTCCCCCCCCCCACCCCGAGCAGGGAAGCAAGACAAAAAGTCTCTACAGCTCTCGCACCCTAAAATATAAGCTCCTTTGAGCCTCCGTTGCACAAACGTTTTTCCTTCCGCCAGTTTTGCTTCGCTCCCCCAATTTCACTGCTTATTCCCTTTACATGGGCACTTGTTACTTAGGTAAAATTAAAAGAAAATCTTACACACTGCAGAGTTTGTTCAATATACCTGCGAACATTTAACATCAGACACACTGCTCCCATCCACAGTGGTAAAATACATCTCTTTCAGAAATCAAGAGCAGGCTGGTGACAGAGAGCTGATGTTCCCTGGTTCTGTGAAAGGATTTAGAGAGATTATATACATTTGTAGGTTTTGAAATTGGATGGGATCTACAGATGGGAGCTTTCACTTGACAGTGTATCTAGGCAGAGATAACACTGACACCCATTGTTCAGGAAACAGAGAAGAGCCGCGATAAGTTTCCTTAAAATATGCTTTTAAAAATCTTTCCAAAAGCACAGTATTCCTATAAAGCCTCTATTGCTTTGTTCATTTTTGTCTGTTCTCTGCTTATTACGTTAATTTGTAGGGTCTAGCCATTTCTGCCTTCTCTCAGTCCACAATACAGAGGATTACCTGGCTTCTGTTTTTATCTTCTGTAGTTTTGCAATATAATCAAAGCAGAGACATTTTGTTTCATCAACATCGACTTAGTGTCCCTCAGGGTAAATATTCAGGCTCCCAAACCTCCTGAAACCAGGTAGATCAAAAGACAGAATAGAAAGAGGAGAGGGAGAAAGTAAGAGCAGAATAAGTAATTTTTTTCAAAATTAGGAGGTTTTTTTTCCAAGTATCAAAATAGTGCCAGACTTGATACATCTTTTGCTTTGCTACTATTACATTAACTGGCAGAGTTATTTTCCAAATAAGACTGTTTCGAGATTTCTGGAGTGTTTTACAATGGATAGTACAGAAAAGACAATTAAAAAACCCCCATTCCAGTTTGCATGTAGGAAATATCATTAGTATATGGTACTTTACAAACAGAGTGGGAGTTATTCTTTCAATAAAAAGGCAATAACATATCCTCCCCATTAAGGCATTAAGTTTAATTCTTTTCAATCGGTTTAAAAACAGAAACACCAAAGTAATTTTATTTTTGCAGTTATAAAACTGATATCATAGACAAAATTCCAGCCCAGAAAATGAAATCCTATAGAGAATTTAATTTCCTAGAGAAATTATTTTCACGTAATACATTTCTACTTGCTTCCCTTGCCTTGTGATCTGCAGTATCACCCTCTATGCTCAGTAGATAGTTAAACCTCAACTACATGCTCTTCAATGGTACAAAGAATCAGCTAGAATAATTTAAGGACAAAAACATCAATGTACTATGCTTTCATCTCTCCCCAGGGTTGCTAAGTGTTCACAGATTTCTTCAGTAGCTGTCTCAGCCCCATAGTAACAAAATTAAAAACTGGCTTCCCAAAGCCCAGTTTCTTTCTTATTTTTTTTCAGCAGGTTAATGTATGATTAATAATAACTTTTTCTCTTTTTTTTTTTTTTTTTTTTTTTTGAGGGTTTTTTTACTACCTACTTTGGTGCGATCTCAGTCAGGCACTCCTGATTGGCCCAGGCCGGCGGCTGCAGTAGGAAACCCTGTGCATTTCTTTCCCGGCGGCGGCGGTGGCAGCAGCAGCAGCCCCAACCAACAGCAGCAGCAGCCCCAACCAACAGCAGCAGCAGCCCCAACCAACAGCAGCGGCAGCCCCAACCAACAGCAGCGGCATCTATTTCAGGTGGCTGAAAACAATGGAGCGGTTTGTCCTCCTCCGGACAAAGCTAGCCGCTGAAAAAAAAAAAAACAAAAAACAAAACAAAAATCCTCTGCTGCTGAGACCAGGGGCATGGGGTGGGTAGGCTGGGGGGAGACTCGGAGAAGCTGCTGTTCTGTGTTTATTGTGGGTACTGCTGGCTCTGAAACGCTACGGAAATAATTCCTTCATGTTTCTGGGCAGTGAAGCTCCGGGCTTTCTGTAATCAGATGACAGAAGCACCTGCTGATGTTAAAAAAAATGTATAGACAGTTGGGTTTCATCGCTGTATCCTGACTTCAGTCATGTTCCTGCCTTGAATCAATACACAAAAAAGCCCTGGCATGAGGCTTATTTATTGAGTCTCTGCCTGCTTGTAAGCAGAGAACAGAATCAAAGACTCGATTGCATGTTTTCAGGGCTGGGGTATGAGGCAGCAGTATTTCATACTAGGTTACAGCTAGCACAAAGCTTCAATACTAAAGGTGTGAGCCATACTTAGCAGTTTTCATCCATATTTCTGTTCTAATTAAGGGTGTGACATTATGATTTCCTCCCCCCCTCCTTGCAGTATACCCCGGTAGATGTCTTTTGTAGATGCTGTTCTGCCTGTTCACGTTAGATAGAAGTTGCTGAAAGACCCCATACTGAAGAGGCATATTGAAAAAGCAGGCCTATTGTGTCAGGCTCTCATGTTGGGTGCTGTATGCTGGCCAGGGGTCCCTCTTGCAAGAGCACTTGCATGCTATTTGTGGTGAAACTAGCAAAAGACCTATCGGTACGACTTAGACTTAAATTGGGGCAGGTGGGTAGAGCTTCCCCAGTCTCTTTCCTCATGTATTTAATCAAGGAATGCTTAAATTTGCCCCAAAGTCTTACTTGACTTTGGAAGTAATAGCAAGAATTGAGCAGGGACATGTTTGGGTTTTGGTTTTTGAAACCTACAGTTCCAAAACAAGTCAGATAAAATACTTGTGTATAGTAGACCTTGAGTCCTACAGATAAGTTTCTCTGGACAACTTGTTCTGGTCCTGCCATGGCTGTTGGCCTGGTGGCACCGCATGCTGGGTGGCTGGGAGAGAAAATCAAGGCAGGTGCTGTTTTACAACGGGGACCTCCAAGCACAGTGCCACACCAGACCTCCACCAGACCTCCAAGGTGGCATGTAAGGGAGACTTGGTTCAGCTGTGCTTTCTAGTCTTAATTAATGTGGGTAATTTGTCTGTTACTGTTCCAAGCTTGCGTTTCATAGATTGGTTTCGTTATGAAAGAGGGGTGCAGAAGTAAGACATCCTGGGGAGGAGGGGAAGGGATGATGTAAGGCCATGAGAACAGGGTTAGGGCTGTTTCATGTTGTGTACTTATAAGGGAAAATGAGTTGGAAGTGGCCTATTGGCTCAGTCTGTTTCAAGACGTCTTGTTGCATTTTTGGAAACGCTGCGGTGGGTTTAGAAGGTATCTTAACAAGTTAAAGGAACCTCAGCGAGGACAGGGACTCCTTCACCAGCAGAGTAAGGGAGACCTCTCTCGCTTGTTTCTGTTTTATGGGAAGGATGTGCTTGCTCTGGGAAGGGCACTATCTGAGAACCATGATGGCTTTTTGGAAGGTCTCATTCCCCAAAAGACACAACAGCATAGCTCGGTGAGGCAAAACCACAGTGGCTGTGGTGCTCCGAGGAGGCTAGAGGCAGGAACTGTGCACTAAGTGCAAGTGCATGGCTTATGGTGGTACCAGCCTGCCTTAGCATAGGGCTCCACAGACTCTGGACCAGCACGGGCACTGGGAGCTCCAGCTCTGCACCGGGAGCTACGTGCTGGTGATTAGCAGTACGAATGTCACAGTTTGGCAACTCCTGCTGTATGTAAATCCCCACGCTGCTGCTTGTGTAGGGGAAGGGGAGTCTGTTTTTTCCAGCCCTGTGCTTCTCTCTGACTCGAGAGCCCCGCTCCTCCTGTGCCTGTGACCTTAAGCATCACCCCAACCGTTGTCAGCGCTGCGGTTTCCCTCCGAGAGGGCTCGCAGCAGGGTCCTCCTGCGGCAGCTTCGTAGCTGTTGTCTCAGTGCCTGAAACCGAGGGGAAGCTCCCTGTTTCGGGGAGGATGAAAGAGGGAATTTGGGTGCTTCTTTTTACAAGCTCCCCTTTCCGTCAGTCCTGCCCTTTCGACGGGACGGGGGACGTGGAGCAGAGGGTGAGGAAGTTGTGCCTTGTGGCTTGTTGCCACACTGACACTAAACGCTCTCTCTCGTGGCTTTCCTGCTCTGCTGATGGATGCCCTACCAGCGAGCAAGGTTAAAGGCTTCTTGGAATGAGACTTCACTCTCAGGGTTGCAGTGCAGGACAAGGTTGTTACAAAGACAGAAACAAACACTGTGGAGATGTAATGTATATTGTGGAGATGGAGGGTTATTTACTAGCTTTGCTGCTTTTCAACGCTAAGGGTTTCTTTTTGTTTGGTTGTTTTTTTTCTAGCATTAGTGCTATAAATAAGCTAGACTAAAAGCTCAAGCTGGATGTTGGGATGAACCATTTCTAAAGGTGAATTCCCCTCCCTCTCTTAAGGCATTTGCAATTAATCTGAAACTTCCCCTGCAAAAAATCCATCCCCCAGCCACGGGGGGAACCCAAGAAAGCAATCCTGTAGCTGGTGGCGAGCGCTTTGGCTCCAGTCTGAAACACCAACGTGAACTGCAGCCCACAAAGCGCCTGCCCAGTGAAGGGCCGCTTCAAAACCCAGCGTGGTCAATATAAAAAGATCACCCCTGGACTCCCCTTTGTCAATAACACCCTGCATCAGCAGAAACCAAAGATCAATGCATCCACCTCACCGACTTTTTAGCGTTTGAGATGGTGACTACTTGCTTACTTTATATGCCTCAGCTATTTGAACTCCCCCTCCCGTCCTCCAAGCTACTGACTCATTTCCTCCTCTAAAAACCTTCCTTTTTTAGCCTTTCGCTCTGAAGTATTTGGTGGCTGTTTTGAGCTGCCTGCTCCATGCCTTACTTAGGCAAACTCCTACATGACAGCCCTGCAAGTCTTGCTTTTGTACCATGGAAATTGGGGCTTCTATCGGAAGAGCACACGTC